CACACGTCTTCTTTTGAGACTGTCCTATCACTTTAGTTGGTTCTCTATAGCATAACCTCAGTAAGACACCAGTAGTGCTCCTAGCATTGGGCTGATTATTACTTAACTGGAATAACTGATGAAACACTGGGAAACTAGACGATCCAATGTATCTGAATCACAACAGTCAAGGATAATATCATGAGCAAGCACAACAAAATGCTAGATATGTGATGACAATAAATTTAACAAGATTTTAAAAATAGCCACTCCACAATGTTTACACATGTATATACATGTACATGTACATACATAATTGTAATAGTACATGCATGTACACTTATCATTCCTGTTATAAGAGCCATAGTAAATACACCTACTGAAACTGTGTGTTGAGTCAACATTATACATGTAGAATTGTATTGTACATGAGTACATCATTACTATAATAAGGGATAGGATACAATTGGAGCTGAACACCAGATAGAAACAGCAGGGGCACTTGATTAACATCAATCAATTGAACTAGTTCTAAATGTGAAGGATGAGCCGAGGCACTTATACATAAATCATCATTTCCACCAACTGAAGCGACGGATTGTCTTAAAAGCAGTTTAAAATCAGATAATTCCATTACATGTGCATGAGGAAGATTAGGGGAGTCTCTCCTTCTTTTTTGAATACATAATGAGCCTCTCCAAATGATTGGCACTGTTAACGTATTTTGTGTTAGAGTTGATAATGATCCTATCTCAGCTTGCAAACATTCTGACCATTCAATCCATATTGAGCTATAGCTACATAACAAGAAAATACAGTACTTATAGTCATTAATGATACATGGACATGCACATTAAGAAGTACATCTATTACAATGCTGAAACAAAAAAAAGGAAAGTAGTGATTCTACCATACACAGTTTAAATTGACCTATCAGAATGCTTATCAAGCTAGTGGTCTTGTTATCAGCAGCTGGTAGCTGTTTTCAAATGCACAGTACACTTACAAGGTATCAGATTTTACGGCTCAACCTTGGTGTATACTTGTTTCATAAAATTTAATACTTATTTTGGTGATTTTGCATTATTGAGTGAACAATTAATTTTCTTTCAATCACACATTGCCCAATTATTCAAAAAACATAAAAGGTCTTACATGATAATTATGACATATTAAGCCAAATACCTGTTATTATCATTAGTAAGAAAATAAAGTGAACTGTTATGCCACTTCTCCAGTCTCCACAATGCACCAAACAAAGAGACAGTTGGACTATAATGAAAAAATGCACAGTACATATAGCAGGAATGACTACTCCATGAGAGATGTACAATGCACAAAATTTACCTCAATAATTCAGGAACGATAACTATTACATCAAATAAAATATAGTCTAAAAATACAAAAAATTGTCAATACAACAGTGCAAATACATGTATGTTATTGTGGTCATTTCACACGATTCAACCTTCTATTTTTTACACGTACAGCTTGATTAATTAGAAGGGATACTGTCACAATATAATGAAATTCTGTGTTGCATTTTTAGTGCATTGTGTGATGTCATTGATTTGTGAGGCACAAGAATCAATGATGAGTTTTGGGCAGAAATGGCTGGATCAATGTACATGTAGCTATCATAACCTTGCTAAAACATGCAGGGTTTTATCTACTGGGGGGGGGGTGGGGGGAAGGTTCTACCCCAAACTCAATATCTTCCCCCCCAAAATTTTAATGAAAATTTACATAAAGTGTACATAAAGGTACACAATTGTGTACAATTGTGTACATAAAGTGTACATGATTGCTCTGTAAATTACAAATTTATTGAGTAAGCAATTGCATAGTATTACTGTAATATAGTCAGTATTACTTCTACATGAAAGTTTACATGTACTTCCCCCCCAAACCAAAATTTCTAGATAGAACCCTGACATGAAATAAGTAATGCCAGTTACATGAAGGTCAGAGCTAAGTTTTAGAAAGATAAGGCACTGAGACACGGCAGAAACATCCTTAACTATCACTAGTCAAAACTGTAGAGGCCCTAAACCAGCAGCCAACTATTCTGATAATTCCTAATTGCTTAAATCACTTTACTAAAAGCTATAGCATTCTTCTTCATGAGAATCAGAACTCCAGTGTCAAAATATAGAGCAATAACTCATGCTTTAGCACAGGATATTAACTTGCAGCTATTTTTATAAACATATACTACTAAGTCTATATACACTGTATGATGACAGTAATATAGCCACAAATTAAAAAAATTAATACTATTATAGACATGTAAATACCTTCTAATTCCCACGGAACATTATCCAATAAGTCATGGATCTCACCAGCTAGAGCTGTTTCATCCATTTCTACCTTGTCTTCATTAAGTGGTTCGACGATAGTATCTTGCAACGAATCCCATGTCATGTGACTAACATGTGATTTTGATGATGTAACAGGTGTAACAGGAGTAGATGACTGATCTCCACACAGCAACCATCGATTAGCAGGAAACTAAAACAAAAGGTTTGACTATCTGACAGAATATTCATTTCCCGCTCAAACCAAAATAGCACAATAATAACAAGACTTAATACCATAGATCGGGAAATTTTGCTATTAAATAATTTTGCTTTAGAATAATGACTGAGAAATACAGTGAAACCTGCTTAATCCGGTCACCCTTGGGCCAGTTTTAAATGGCCTGATTATGCAGGTGGCTGCATAACAGATCACCCTCTGTAATACAGCCATTTAGTATGGGATTTTGGCTTATGGCTGTAATAGAGAGGTAGCCTCATTATTCAGATGACCTTTAGGACAGGTTTCACTGTATTGAATATTTTGTAAATGGCGATACCATATAGCCAGAAAGTTTCGTGGAAAAAAATTTGTGATTTGGTAGCTCTCAGTCCATTTGTGGATCATCAGTGAAACACTCACACCTCTCATTATCCTGCAAAATATGTTACGATTTTTAATTTTGTGGTGTCATTCAAAACCACAAAAACCACGAAAGTTTTTGGCCACAAACTTAGCACACAACTTTCCGGCTATATGGTATCACAGAAATACAGAACACCTGCAGATCATAACAAATCAACAATATCACATGGATTATATACCTTCTTTGAGTGATTTATAACAGCAACATAATCACTTTCTTTGGTTAAGCCTTCCTTTCTGGAGTCATAGCCACGAGACACCTCTCTGACAAGACTGACAGTCAAACCTAACAAAACCGTCAACAGGTTAGCATACGAACCCCAGCCAACCTTCACTCCCAGACAAAAGAGATACTATAAAGAAACACCTACTGACACGAAGAGGCATTATAACACAGACTCAAGGTAACAAGGTTTCCTGAGTTTAAAGAAGGGCGTGGAGAAAGGGAGGTGTGTCATCAATGTCATGACATATTTAATGTAAAAATCATGGTGCAATAGCAGCATCAAAATATAAAATTAAAATGTTAATTCAATTAGAAATAAAAAGGTCTCATTCAAATTCAAAAACTAAGCCACTTCCTGACATCCTTTTAGTGTATTCAGCATCAAACCTTGCAGACTGCTCATCACTGAAATGATTCTTCCAATCGCCAATCACTCCTTTACGTATAAAAGGTGTAGAATTACTCACGGTAACCTCTGGTGCCTCAGGTAGACTGTCATAAGTAGCTAGTGGGTTATCTTTCATGCTATCAAATGTACACTGTCTAGTAATCTTCTCAATCATTGCATCATCAAGACTACTGATATCCCATGAATTGTGCAATAGTCTTCACTGATCCAGACAGGTCTTTCTTTAAATCTTCATACATTAAGAACAAAATATTCTCAGCATCTAAAAATGATATCTATAATTATCTGATTAAAATGTATGATTATACCCTTATATTTCCACCATTCAAGAACATGATCAAACCATAGCCCAAATGGAACTTCTCCTTTCATAAAGAACTCAAAGAAGCAATTCCAGTCACCAGTAAAATCAAAATGAGTAAAGCGTTTTGCATGATAGTAATAGGACACGGCCACATCTTTAGGATTACGTGCAATGTAGATATACTTGGCTATGGAATTAGCAGGATCTCTTCCAGGCATCATGTGATATGGTAAATGACTCTTTAGGGTACGAGGAGATGACAGAGCCTATGGTAGTATAAAATAAATATTTTTTAATACTAAAAGTGGATTGGTAATACAAACAGTACAAGTAGTCATTTTGCAAGTGAGACCAAATCCAATGGAAAGGTCCATCACAAAGAATCAAGAAAAGGAATTAAATATCTGAACAGAAGAGGCTATATACACACCAAATCCATGTGAATGTAATGCATTAAATTTATAGACTTTTTAATGATATTCATTTGCATACCAAAAATGAAAAAATTATTCTGGCCGCGATGATGGAGGTATATGGTAGCCAAGAAATTCTTTTGTATCCCAATGAATATCATTAATCTAGTTAACGTAGATAAACCACATTGTGCTACTAGATCAAGAGGAAGGTTTGGCATTAGTGAGGAGCTGTCACACCCACCTAACTGACTCAAGGCAAAAAAAGTATTAGAATGCAGTCAATATCCAGTTTTTTCCCCAAGCCTAAGGAAAGATACTAGGAAAATTTATTGCTTAACATGGAAAGACAATCCTTGCTCAAGCCTTGCTTTTTGAGAAAACTAGGATACAGTATAGTATAAAATTTTTGTGGCCAAAAATTTTCGTGAATTTCATGTTTTTTCAAAATTCACAAAAATTAAATCTGCAAAAGTTAAAGTTGATTTAATATGGTTCAATATGGACAAAAGTATAAAACTACAAAAATTAAAGCCACAAAATTGATTTTTTTGGACAAATCTGTGAAATTTTTGGGCCACAGAAATTTTCCACTATACGGTACTCAATTTCCTTATTGGCTTTATAGCCTACATATACCTCCACAAATGACCACCAATTTATTGGAGCCTTTTGTATGCATGGTAGGAAGTTTGGTACTGGCACATACACATTAATATACATGTAGTCCAGCCTGGAGTTTATATAGCATACATTGACAGGCAGTTGAAAGTAAACTTACAAGCACAAAGTCTTTCCCTTTAAGTTCCAGCCATGGTATATCAGCAGTAATATGAGTATCTTTTTCTCCTCCCCTTTGAATGAGTGAAACAATCTGTTGTGTCCATGTTGTGCCAGATTTCGGATAAGAGACAACGTAAAGATCACCAAGAGAGACAGGATGGTCGGGGATTTCAGCTATCCACTTTGGATCTAACGTGAGAACAAGAAGCCCACTAGCAATCTAGCATTACGCAAAGGTAACCTCGTCAAAGCGTCTAGAGACAGGAATGGATCCAATTAGTTATGTGGGTGGTTTTATATCTGTAATACGCATGCGCATCACTCCCTCATGGACAAAAATCACAAAATGGCTGCCACCAACTGAGTGTTTTTCATATTTCTAGTGCTGTCTTTGTGGTTCCAGGCCTTTTTGCTAGTTGTTTGCATGAGTTGGATCACTGATTAGACTAATAGAACCTTGCACTTGGTAATTTATTCTCAGACTGCTATAAATTATGCCTTTTTATATACTGTGACTATTGTAATCACCTATATGTATATAGAATGTATCTTC